TTAATAATCAAATATAACTTGTAAAATTTACAAGTTATTTTAGTAAAGAAAAATCATTTATTCTAATGTGTTCTAAATTTATCTACATTCAAATCTGACTTGCACATAATTGATCATGTGAAACTCCAATATTACATTTATTTAACACTTATACATATTGCGGATAATGGTGAAAAATTTGATATTGTATTGGGTAATTATAGAGATAGAATGAAAGATGCGTGAAAACTGAAAATCATTATAATATCACTAAATAACGTAATCAGTTATTTAAAATAGTTACTTCTATTGCTCGTATTTTAACATTCTCAATTGAAATAAATTGAATTCTAGAATTCGAAGTTCATTTTTGTCGCGTTTTTGTATTTATCCAGTACATTAAAGTCCGAAGTTTAAAACAAAATGAAATTTTTCAATTTTGTTTTGTTATTATTGATTGAAATCACAACAATTTTTAAACATTAACTCGCTGTTTAATGTAAAACAGGAATTAAATATGAGTAAAAGAAATTCAAGATACTTTTATTTGTGACAAGATAAGATATTTTGTTCGGTTTATATTTCAATTCGATAAGAATTTTTTAAATTTTTTTCTCAAATACGTTTTAGGAAATGTAAAACTCTCAATTATTATTTAGTGAGAGATGGATGAAAAATAGCTTAGAATAAATGAGTAAAAATTGTATGTACTGTGTTAGAAATACGAAGACAATTACTTGATATCCCTTTGGAATTTGGATGACAGTTCAAACTCTTAGTAAAAATAATCATGTGTTTCATGGATAACGAGAATGCATACGTGTAGAGTAAATTAAGAGAAAGGTGAATAGTCCTAGAAAATGTATAAAAAAAAGGGTTTTCATAAAGGCACAACCTACGTGAAGTGTTAATTTTAAAGAATAAAATATAAAAACTAAACATTAGTTTAATACTTGTGAACAAAAGAAAGAACACCAGAAATTTTAAATGTTTTTAACATAAGTTTTATACATCTAAAACAACACTTTAATTTGAAGCTACTCCTAAACCCAAAACAGTGTTTAAAATCATAGAAATGTTTTATGCGAGAAAAGAAACAAATAATGAAAATTTCATTTGTTTTAATTAGGAATTTGTAAAGTCGTTGAAATTTCAACGGATTGTCCAAACTGGAATTGCATGTAAGAAATTGATCACTTAATTGACAACTTCAATTTTTGTTTTTCCTAAAACCTTAAAAGTAAAAAACTGTATTTGTTATAATGACTGTCATATCATTTAGGTTTAAATTTTTTTTTATTTCTGAAAATATAATTTAATTACATTAAATTTTTATTAAATTAAAAATCTGACATAGAAATTATGTAACGCATGAAACTTTGTTGTGACATTCAATTGTTGCATAACATTAGCTTTATATTGTTATATATTCAATTGTCTGACGACATGTTGAAATCGACAAATTTGAGGAAAGTTATATTTTTTCTAGTTTCAAATCGTTACTTTTTGGCAAAATTTTCTTTTAAAATAACTTCGGAAGAGTAGCTAATTAACTAATTAATTAATCATCAATTCAATATATACAGGGTGGGCCAACGAAAACGAAACGGCAGAGTAATCGTGTTCGTCCAAGCAAATCGCTCGGACAGGTCGATTTTATTCTCAAGAGGGACATCTTCAGCAATAAAGTTTTTGCGATTCTGAATACAACAGACAACAAAAAATTTTAAAAACGCGTTCATTTTTTATTAACTAAGCAAACATTTATTTCAAATAAAGTAACAAACATAAGAAAAAGTTATCAAGTATTCAATAAATATTCGAATTGAGCCCACATCTCTGTCGATTCATTTCTTACTGGACGTTCACATCCGGGGTTGCATCTTTTGTTAGCCACAGAACCCGTTAACGGAGACTTTTGAACCAAATCCAGAACATATTTTGCATTACAATATTTGTTTGGATAGCGTTGATTAAATAAATTTGCTGTAAGATAAGCATACTCGCAATTTCTGAAATGAAGAGTTACTCTTTCTATCCTTTCAGCAATCGTGTAAACCATATCGATAAATTTAGAAAATTCATAATAAACAAATAATAATCTTAAATTCCGATTGAATCATTAAGTGGTCAAGCTTAATGTGAACACTACAAAAAAGAACATCTGGAAACAGATAACACATTATCAGCCTTAATTTTATGATCGATTTTTTCCTTGCATATGTGGTCCAGCTTAAAAGGTTTTTTTATGATTCTTAATAGTTTGTGTTACTTTTTTTCCGAAAGAAATGTTTGTTTAGTTAATAAAAAGATGCATGAGATATTAAAATTTTTTGTCGTCTGTTGTATTCAGAATCGCAAAAACTTTATTGCAGAAGATGTCCCCTTGGGAATAAAATCGACCTGTCCGAGCGATTTGCTTGGACGAACACGATAACTCTGCCGTTTTGTTTTCGTTGGCCCACCCTATATTATAAAGGTAAGTGTACAATGTGAGTGCCGCTAAAACTCAAAAACGAGTCCCGGTAGGATCAAGGGAGTGGTAGCCCTCTATCCCCCATCCATGAAGAAGGTTCCCCTTTTTACCTGAAGGACGTTCTGTTGAAGATATGAGGGCTAGAAGTTTCGCTCTCTAGAAATTTCTAGAAGTATTCGAGAGTATTCGAGTATTTCACAACATTCCATAATGTTCCGGGATGTTATGGATCGTTCGGGAACATTCCGGAACATCCCAGATCATTGCGGAACATTCCAGAACACTCTCGAATGTTGTGGAATGTTCTGGAACATTGTGGATCATTCGAAGCCTTTTTTGTATGGGTGGGACTACCCATTGGTGGAGGTATATAAAGCAAAATCCGTCGTGGGTTCGAACGTCAGTTTCTTATCAGTGACGAAGGGAAGAACCGAAAAAGAATGAAAATTCCAAAGTAGTTCAGTGACTCAATAAAAACTAACAGTGAAGTGTGAGTAGTCAAAGTGATACAGTGACTGAATATAAGTCGAAAATAAANAAAAATAGATAAAATGAATAATTTATAGTTTCCAATAGCAATTATTATTGTGAAATAAAGCAGGGTGGTTTTTTTGTAATAAATAATATAAACATTAAAATGATGGTCAATTTATTTGTTAACCACTTACTATTGAGACCTTAGATTATATTAATTAATATGATAAAATGACTTAGATGTTAAATATTATAGATACAGTTTTTGTTCTAATATAAAATTTTCAGATACATAATAAGTTTACCAATAAATAGTTAAAGTTTATCAAATAAAAATTTTTAAGAGTAGAATCAATATTATATTTTTTGTTGGGAAATCAATTGCTAATGAAGTTATTAAGAAATTGATATGGTCATTTCTATTAAATGAATAGATGGAAAAACTTTTACTACCATTCTAATTAGAATATTGTAGTGCTTATCAGTGGTTGAGTGGATAAAACTACTGAACAAGGGGGTTTTCTTCATGTATATAATGTTTAAATAGGGGCCAGTTCCTCATAGAATTATCTCCTGAGAAGTATTTGCTTTGGCACATCACTTTAGTGATGCATTGCTTTATTTCATCAAACACACCTATTTTCATGGTTAAATGATATTTCATATGTCTTAGTTGAGAAGTTATTAATACATATTTTTTTTATATAAAATGTAGAATAAAAAAAAACAATTTATGAGAAAGAAGTAATGATATTTTTAAGATTGTGGTTTAATTTAGTAGGAAAAAATTACATATATAATAGAAAATAGTTTGAATTTGAATTAATGGCAAAAGAAAACATGGGAAAAGAAAATTACATGTTATAAAAATAGTCATAGAAACTAAAGTAATTTACAAGAGTCATTTTGAAAGTCATAAGCAACATTTTTTTAATACCATTTTTCCTACCATTGTGGGAGCTTGAAAATTTCTTTACAATAGAACTCCAGCCCCGCAAAAAAACTGATGCACTGATTTCTTCATGTCCACCACCATTTTGTAGCATTGGCCTTGCATGTTTTCCTTCACAGCACAAAAAAAAAAAGAGAATCGAAGGGTGCTAAATTGGGCTGTAGGGACTGCACCCTTCAATTTTCGATTTATGGATTTACTCCCCGATGTAATGAGCAGTGTGGAGCCTTGCATTGTTATGTTGCAGGATGATCTTCCCAGGATGTTTATCACACAAGTACGACAGAGTTTATGAAGTGTACTGAACAGCATTAATGGTTTGCCCAGGTTCAAGAAATTCCATCAGAATCATTCCATCTATATCCCAGAAAACAGAGCTCATAACTTTTCCAACTGATGGCACTGTCTTTGCCTACTTTTTTGTTGGGGAATTGAGGTGGTGCCATTCCATACTCTGCCATTTGTTTCAAGTGCATAATGGTAGTACAAGCTTTCACCACCTATCACAATATTTATCTTCCACAGTTACACATCAGTCTTCCTTAACAATCTTATCCACTCTTTTTTTGTTGCATTCATTGCAGGCAGTCTGCAGATGGCCACTGTTAGGCTGATCTTCAGTGCTTGTGTTTCCATCTTTAAATTGTTTTACCCATTTAACACTGCTGGCATCCATGCACACATCTCCACATACACTCTGAAGTTCTGGTGAATTTCTGCAGTACAAATTTCCTCCTCAATGGGAAATTTGATTACAGCATGCTGGTGAAATGAAACATCAGTTGTAGCCATTTTGTTTTGGCTATCAGTGATCATGTAATGGAAGATAGTGACATCACAACTTCCTCATGGCACTCTCTGTAGTCTATGGATTATAACAATATTCTTAGTTTTTCATAATTAATATATTGTGATTTATGAAAAATTGTTGTTCATTACTTTCAGTTTGACCTATGTACTATGACTTGCTAAATTGTAATCAGTTATCTATTTTAGAAGCAATTGAAATAAAACATTATTATGCATGCTGTAGAATTTTATGATGCAAAGTAACAAGTATATGCTTAGAAATCAAAATTATAAATAATATTGACTAAATATATGCATTTTTGATATATTTTATTTATTAATAAAGTGTTATTTATAGTAGTACTCTTCAGAAATTAGATCAACTTCATAAAGAAGAACTTTCAGATTTAAGGGCAACAACTCGTGCCAACCAATCGAATCTGGAAAATTATGTTGCAAAATTAAAGAAGGTAATATATAATTATCACAATATTTAAATACTTTTTTGTTTGATATATATAAATACGATAACTTCCTATATGAATTTATAAAATTTTCTAATTGGGCACTAATAAATATTATGAATTTAATTAAAAATTTTATTTTAACTTGAAAGTCATTACATTAATAGTCATTTATTTTTACTTGAAGCAGCATATAACACAAAAACAATCAGATTCCAAAGACTCAAGTACAAATACATCTGAAAATGAAGGAAAGAAGGTATAGTGGATTATTTATTAAACACTATAAATTATAAAGTTCATGATTTATTAATTTTATATTCTAGGATTTAAGTGATACTTTTAGCATTTCAAGTGAGAAAAGTATATCTCCTGCTGAAATGTGTCCAAATTGCAAAGTAGTAAGTATTGTAAAGAAGTTAATATTTCAATAATTTTAAAAATAATAAAAATTTTACTTTATTCAGATTGCAGATAAAACTATAGAAAAGAAAGTAGATTTAATGAAAAAGCAGTCACTTAAACGTGATAAAACAATTCAAGGATTGACTGAAATTTTGTACAGGAAAGAGAAAGATTTAAAATATTTCAGAAATAAACTGGGTGAGAAAGAAGCTCTTGATCAATTATTAAAGCTAGTCAAGCAGTCAGTCAATAGTGCCATTACTACAACAGAAATTGATCAAACTGTGATAACTAATTTATCCATTGCTCTTCGAAAGGTAATTTAAAAATAATCACTATTTTATGTATTTAAGGTAATTTTAAAATAACTTAAGATTATTTTTAGTTATTTTTGAATAATTAATTTATTTATTAATAAACAAAAGATTAAAATGCTGTTATTATATTAAGAAATATATTTCATAAAATTTATATAGTAAAAACCAATGAAATTAAATACTTCCATTATTAATATTAAAATAATTATTTTCAATAAAATAATTCTATGAAAATATTATTTTGCATACTTATTAAAATAATTTGTATCTTTGTTTTATTTATAAGATAAATTTATTTTCTGGTATATATTATTATTTCCTAAAGTCTATCTTAAAACCACATTTTAACAATTATTATAGTGATAGCTTATTACTATATGTTGGAGTAAACAAGAACCTGCAGTAATATTTTTTGAAGTAAAAATTCACAAATCTGTCTGGCCTCTGTATACTTTCCTCTCTCTAACATATAGTTATATTAACTTAAATATTCATTATTGGTAAAAAGCCAGTCAGTTAGTTAAACAGTAGAACTCTAATTGTCCAAGCCTTAACTGAGGTTCCATGTTATCTGAACTGAACTTGTAAGTGAATATACTATTTTTCTCATATTGTAATTCATAAAAGAAAGTTTAAAGCAATAACCTGTATTACAAAATAATTTATTTATGCTATCTTTTATTATTTAACTTTAATATGAGACAAAATATTTATATTGAAATGTAACTACAATAATATACATCTTTATTCTTAAAACTATTGTACATATATTAATTGTATAATAAATGATTTTTAAAAAATGATATTATATATAATTCACTAAAGAATAAAAAGAGGCTTAAAGTGCTACCATGTAAGTTTTTTATATTCATAATTTTTAATATGAAATGACCTTCGCCATTCATTTTATATAAACTTTTGGTCATCCAGGGTAGAATTGATCCACACTAACTTAGATAATCAGGGTTCTACTGTATTCATTAGAAATTAGCCTATTGTCATGAAAGTTCATATCTAATTTACACTCTTGTAAATTTTTATTTGCGATTTATGTTAGATTATCTTTATTTCTCATGTTATATTTCATTGCCTATTATGTGTTATATGTACAAATCAAAAACCAGTTACTTTTAAAAAATAAAGGCAAACTGTAAAATTTAAATATAAAAATAACAATTCATTACATGACCACATTATGTGACCATGCCACAGATAGAAGTATAAGAAGTATAAGAGATATACATAAATTATGTATATCTCTTATACTTCTATATTCTTGGTGAGATAGATTTGAATATTCTTCCTGTACATCTAGTCTAATGAAAACTAACCAGCTGAATGTACATATGTTGCAAAATTATCTATTTGAATTAATAAAAATTAAACAATGCAAATTTAAATAATTTGTAAAAAAAATAAATAAATAAATAAAAAGGAAAGTTACATTTTGCAAACCTACAACCCACCTAGTATTAGTGGTATACCTGTAATTAATAATAAGCACAAGTATAATAAAATATGTAGTTTAAATTAAAAAATATATATATTTTATTTTTAGTATTTGTCTACGTATCAAGACAAAGAAGAAATAGAATCACTAGAAAATAGCATTGAGGTAATTTGAAATAAATTTATTACTGTTTTCTTAACTATATTACTGATTAATAGTTTGCTTTTATTATTTTTTGTCAGTCATTTGAAAAACATTATTTGCAATGGTTAACAATGATGCAAAATAAATCTGTTAATAAAGAGGAGAGTTCACTTGAGGTAAAATGTTTATTCTTTACTGTTTTAAAATTTAAAAAGTAATTGATTATTAAGGAGCTTTAACAAGAATTCATATTAATATAAAATTTATAAAATGTTAACAGTCAATATTACTTGTATCCTATATTTAGAAGGTTATTTTATTAATGATAGAGCTCTACTTAATTTATAATAATAAATTATATTATTAAATGGTTTTCTGATAATTTGAAATACTTATCTTTATTGTATAATTGAAATTAACTATATTATATGTATTACATTTTAAAAACTTGAAAATTTGTTTTTATTTATTGTGTTAATGAAGAATGAATTTAACAGAAAATTTTTGACTTTTAATTGAATTTTAGAATGCCTTTCAATTAGTTTTAACAAACTTCTATTTTACAATTGTTGTTCACAATCTTTGTAAATAGAAAATTTTAAAATATATTATGTAAGAATACATACAATAAAAGACGTATTTCCTCAAAGTAAATGTATTAATAGCTTTAAAATTTAAATTAAAAAAAATTTATTTGAAACATTTCCTTTTTATAAATTTGTAAGTGTTGAAAAATTATCCAAGAAAATTTGTCATCTTTTTTATCATGTTCACAAACTTTTAATCTTTATTTGTCACTTGATTAAATTTGATCTTTGTGTCAATAAATAACAAGAGTTGTGCATATGAAAACAGAACTAATTTTTTAGTCTTCTAAAGATTTTGATGGATATATTGAATTATATAAAATGGATATTGGCAAGAATATGTATTAAAATATATTTTATACTTAATATTCTTAATGTTCTTAATATTCATAATATTCTTAATGTGAAATTTGTTAATTTTTTTTAGGAAACTAATGATGATATGAAAAAAGAATTGGCTTCCCTTCATCAAGCAGTTAAGGATAAAAATTTATTCATACAGGTGAATTTATAAATTTTAAGTTTTTAATGATAAATATTTTTTCAATTTATATTTTTCTAATGGATATATACATTTTACAAATATTTTAAAAAAGTAACATGTGTAATAATAGATGTAACTTTTTAAATTCATTTTCTGTATAATAGACACATTAATAGATAATTTAATATTTATTAAATAGCATTTGCTATTTTGCAATCAGTTGTAATTATGATAAGTTTATCTTTGATAATCACATAATTTTTCTCAATTAAACTATTTTTCTTTGAGAACACCAGATATAATTATATTGAAATGTTTTCACTATAATACTGTGGGTATAGGTATTTTAATGGCTCTTTCAGTGAATCAATACTCCACAATTTTAGAATTTAATCATTATTTTCTGTAATTGCATGATTTTTTTTATTATACACTGTAATATGTAATTTTGTGTTATCTTAAAATTTCATAATTCCTCTTCATTAACACTATACATTAAAAAGATCTTTTTTTAAATTATAAAACTTGAAATAAACAAACACTACTGTGAAAATTTTCCACTATGAAATTGATGTGTATAAGAGGAAGTTTAACTCTTTAAGCTCTGAAAATTTCTTTTTCCTTTCTATCTGGAGACTAAATGTTACCTCTCATGCTACAAAGGGAACTTGTATAGCAAAACCAGCAAAAGAGCTATTCCATTGACTGATTTTGTTTTGAATGGAATAAACTGATTTTAGCCAATTTCATGTTTAAAGAATTAAAGAACATGTCAAAGTTAAAATAAGTTTATGTAAAGATATTATATTAAACTTTAACAAGGGAATACAAATTAATAAGAGATAGTATGACAGTTGATATCCAGTGAATCATGAGGAATTTGAGTGTTTGGGGGTACAGTTGTACTGGTACTGCAGATTATGAGTGTGATTCAATATGATGTTTGAGTTTGGCCATATCTGCTATTTCTGGAGATTCAACTCCCTATTGAAGCACTGAAGATTTAATATAATCAATGTTGTATTACAGATATTATTTGGTGTTTAAATTGTTAATTTGTATTATGTATACATGTTATTGAAACATCTGAGTGGTAAGGGACGGGGGCTTATATTTTATAAATAAATTTTGAACAAATCATTTCTTATTATACTATATAACAAATTATTAAATACAAAATAAATTTGCTTTTAGAAAATTAAAAGTAAAAGTTGCCTAAAACTATCAATGATTTTATATACAGAAATAGTTTATATATTATATAAAATAGAAATAAATTTAAAAAAGTAAAATTATTCATAATAGTATGATTTTTTTTAATAGGAACTCTTGACTGAACGAAAAAATGCTGTGACCGAGAACAGTAAAAGTGTAGAAAATTTATTGAATAATTTGAAACAAAAAGATATTTATATCCAAGATTTACAATCAAAATTGGAAGAACTTGAAAAATGCTTAAAGAAAGAAGAGAATATTAAAGAAAAGGATTTAATTCAGTCGAAAGTTGATATTACGGAATTGATGAACAAAAAGGAAGAATTGGCATCTGATAACGAAAAATTAAAGTTGGAGCATTCTAAAATTAAAGAGAAGCTTGATGCTGTTTTAAGACAAAAAGATAATGAAATAGAAAGACTTAATGAACTTTGTGAAAAATTACAACACAAAACTGAAGAATTAGAATTTGAAATTGATGAAAAAATGGGAGAATTGCATGAATGCGAAAAGGAAAGAGACAGTTTAAAAGAACAGTTTTCTTTGCAGAAAGAGAAAGCAATAGACATTGTAAATTATGAAAAAGAAATTGAATTGGTGAAAGAGCAGTTTGAAAATATAAAATTGGAATTAGAAAATACAAAATTAGCGAATAATACTTTACAAAATGCGATTACAGAAAAAGATAATTTGTTGGAAATCGTTAATAAAAGGCATATAGAATTGCAGAATGAATATATTAAAAGTCAACATAGTTTAACTGAAAAAGATAAATTATTCTGTGAACTTAAAACAAAACTAGAAGAAATGACATCCGATTTCAGTAAAATAAAAAAGATAAAACAGTTTGAAAGTGATGAACTAGGAAGGTTACGAAATGAAGGAAAAATAGCAATAGATGCAAAAGAAAAACAAATACAAGAATTAAAATGTTTGTTACAAGAAAAAACATTAATGATTGATGCACTGAATGTTGAATTAGAATTGAAAGAGAATGTAGCTGAACAATTACATGACAGTGAACACCATAAATCAGTTAATAGGAAAGATTTCAAAATTATGAGTAAAAGGAATTCTTTGAATAAATTTGTGTCACAATTGAAAAGACACAGTCTTCCTGTATATGTAGAAACTGAGAAATGTTTTTCAAGACTATTGGGCCAAAATTTAACAAGTTTTGGACAGTCTGATGATATTTATGTTCTAAAAGAAGAAATCTGTTTTCTTATTCTTAAGATAGAAAATTTGGAACAGCAGATTCAGGAGAGTAATGGTGGCGTTGGTAGCAATTTAAACCTGCTTTCTGGTGTTTCAGAAGTATTTCCAGTAAGTTTATTTTTAATATAAAAATATTGGAGTTTAATTAAAAATTTTAAGTTTTAATTTAAGATAAATTTCATTTTTAAAATTCTAAAATTTTTTTATATGGTTGACTAACATAAATAAATAGATGAATAATAATGAAAGTCATTATTGGTAACTTAATTTCAAATAATAATTGGAAAAACTGAATCCAGCATGTTATAAATTTGTATTAGAATAGCTAAATTTACAATAATTACAGAATAAGAAACTTTACTCAATATAAATTTGTATTATGTGTGAGGTTTATATTGTAAGCAAATAATCCTGTGATGATAAACATTCATAGTATTAACTAGATATTGTATAAATTCTCAAGTTTTATGTTTACAATGTTCCTAAGATATGAATCAGTGTTCTAATATTGAAGAATATTGTCAATATTAGAACACTTGTACTGTCTTGACTTTTTCATGATCATGGAAGGAATTGTTGTTTTATCAATGTTTCTGATTTTTCTAGTTTTTTTCATAGTAATATAGAAGTAGAAGAGAACAATTAGTTTAAAGAACTATATCTTATAATAATTTTATTACATTTATATCAATACTTAATTCTTATGTACAGTACACTTGACTAACATAGCTAATGATATAAATGTTAGTATTGTTATATTTTCTGGTTAGTATAAATTTAATTTATAGACCAGAAAATATAACAATACTATTCAAAATACAGTAGGTTTAGTTCAAACTGTTGTTAATGAGAAGACACTTTGAGAAATAAAGTAATTGTTATACTGATGAAGTTAATTGAAGAGTTATTTCCATATGGATGTAAATGCATATGGAAATAATGGACTACTATGGAAAGAATATAGGTACATTTGTAAGCAAATGTAAATTAGAGACTATTTTCCTTTGTATATGAGTCTATTTGACAGACAAACTTATCATATAAACAGCAGAGCTTGCAAAGAGTAATATTACAGCATTAGTTCAAATATCATGAATTTGTCATTTACATCCATTTGGAAATAAGCTCCTCAATTGTGAAAGACTTTTAAGAATATTTTGATTTTAATTTCAGAATTCTTCTTTAAATAAAACTGCAAAGACTCTGCATATTCTTCATGCACATATAGAAGAATTGGCTAATTTCTTAGAATGTCTTCTTCGCTTTGATTCTGATGGTCAATTGGATATTAGTTTATTAACTCCAAAAAATGTTGCCAGATTGAAAAAATACCTTGCCGATAGTAAAGAATTATCACAATCTTTTTCTGCAAGTTTGTTAGGTAAATAATAAAGTATTTTTTGTTAATTTTACTTTTTTTTGTTTATATTTGAATAAAAAATGTAATAATTTGCATATTTTCTATTTTTTAGGAGAAGAATTTTCATTTATAGATAATTCATTAGATTTGGAACCTTCTAAAGATATTGGAAAGTAATGTATCATAACTTTTTGATTAATAATTCAAAATTTTTATCTATATATAACTAGAGTTTTATTATTTTCACAGGCTTAAAGATTGGACAGAGATAGAAAAAATTGCTGACGAGAAAACAGGTATGCAATTTGGAAATAAATTAATAGGATATGAATTTCGAACACTGGATTTTTTAAATTTTAATAAGAATCAGAATTCTCAACCAGTTCAAGATCAGCTAGATTATATAAACAGTTCAAAGATAAATCAGTCTCATTTGGGGAAAGATATTTCCATATGCAAAGCTGAAGATCCTTCAATGGATAGAAATATGTTTGAAAGTCTATCATCAGATTCTGACATCTGGTCAGAACCAGATAGAATGATTTCAAAACAGAGAATTGGTGTTGCTATGCCATTGCAGATAAGAAAAAATTCTTCTCCCAAACCTAATTCTTCCAAATGCTTTTCAAATAAAAGTAGTATGGAGGATAATATTTCTGAAGAAAGGATGGGTGCAAAGAGAAATGCAAAACACATTAAACAAATCAAGCCCCCTGTTAATGGTAAAATACTTTAAAATATAGCACATTTTTATTTAACGGGAAGCACTCGTAATTCTTTACCGCACAACTCTAATTGCAAACCTAGGAAATTAAATATATAGTAATAATTTTAAGAAATTTTGAAACAGATTTGCTTGACCAATCTTGTTTTCTCAATCACATTTTTTATAAATGATTTTTATTTTTAAAAAGTTTATTAATGTATATTTCTTAAAACTAAACTTTAAAATTTTTTTATCTAGAGAATTTAAAAAATCAGATGGCCGAATGTCATGCTGCACTTCAAAATAAAGTTCTAGAATGTAATAATTTAATACAGACCAAAGAAATGCTAGAGAGAGAATTATTAGTGTGTCAAGAGGAACTAGCATCATGTAGAGAAATGTTGGAGGAACTGAAAATAAAATTAGAAGATAAGGATAAGAATTATCAAAAATTATTAATTGCTAAAGATCAGCTTGAATTAAAAGATAATGAAAATTGTACACTGCATAGAGAAGTTCATAGGAAGTTAGTCAGTCTGAGTAATCTTGTAGAAAACATGCAAAAACGATTAGCCGAAGAAGAAAGGAAAGTAGTCACAATCAGTAAAGAAAAATCTGAATTGGAACGACAATTGAATAAAGTTGTTGTTGAAATGGAACAGATTCAACATCTGAATCTTCAATTACAGAATGAATTGAAAGAAAGAGAAATCATATGTAATGAATTTGAAAGTAAACTCCAAAATGAAATAGAAGAAAAAAAATTAATTTCTGAAAATTTAAAGCAAAAACTTGAAAATGAAATACAAGAAAAACAATTAATTAGTAAGAACTTTGAAGAAAAATTAGAAAATGAAATTAAAGAGAAAACAATAATTTGTCAAAGTTATGAAGAAAAACTTCAGAATGAATTAAAAGAAAAAAAATTAATTTTCCAAGATTATCAAGAGATTAAGAATTTGTTAGGTTCTCTCCAACAGAATTGCATTCAATTAAAATCTGAACTAGAAGGACGTATCAGTTCAGAGAAAGAATTAATTAAAGAGAAAACATTATTAGAGAGAGATGTTTATTGTAGAAATGAACAAATAAAAGATTTGGAACAGTCACTTAAAAATTGTGAAAAGGAACTAGAAGAAAAGCAGTTAAGTTGGCAAACAAATGAAAAGGAGAATATAAAACACATTGAAGAATTACAAGAGGAAAAAAATAGGTAAGTATAATTACTTAGAATAAAGAAGTTCTTTTATAAATGAATATGTAATTTTAAATGCATTATTACAGATATGACCATATTATAATATAGTAATAATATTTCTATTTATTAATTTGAGTGTCTCACAAAATGCATAAACAGAAAAGAGATGATTCTGAAAGAAAATTAAATTCCAAAATTTATTTCCTAGAAGAACATAAGTAAAATTTATGAAAAATATGTATAACAAAAGTTACATCAAAATAGATAGGTATAAAATATTAAAATGCTATTTTTAAGGATTATTTCAAAGTGAATACGAAAGCCTTTATAACTGTTTCAAACTTGATAAGATTGCTTTCTCTGAGTTGGTTACTTGCAATAGGATTTTATTCTTAAGTGCACTGAGGCATAATGATATAAATATTAAAAGGTGATGATAAAAGTTGACATTTTAGCTGAAAAGATCATTTTGTAGATTATAGTAATGGTTAGTCTAATTATTATTTCAATAATATTTTTACAGCTAATAAGAGCATTTCTGGTTAGAAACATAGCAAGTTTTTCTGCCTTGCTGATTTGGAAATACCAGCAAAATAGCAAACCAAATACTTTAATTTTAATAGGAATCAAGTTACCAGAATATTTTATTAATTTCTAAAGAAATCAGCTTTTTATTGGCTCTGTGACAAGCTTGTTGTTTATATAAGTATATGTGTGGACTTAATTATTTTTAACTATTTGTCATTTTTATGACACCATTGAATAAATTTCCATGCACATTTTTTGTATTCTTATACTAATTCTTTGGCAGTTTTTTCCTTTTTTAAATCTTAGTGTTGTCACTATTCCAACACTGTTTTACTCTTCTGACTGTTGGAATAGTGAATTAAGGTATTGTTATTACCATGTTGACTTTTGAGTAATTTTTTATGAATACATTTTATACATAAAACATTTTATAAAACATTTTCTGGATGTATTATTTTATATTGTTATTTTTTAGTATCGTATATGATTAATTATATCTTAAGCAAATAAATATTATTGTATATACACATTTTATATACATAATGGTTTTCTTCATACTCTTTTAAAGTAGAACATAACTTTGAAAAACACACATATACCAAAAATAAGTAAAAGTAATAAAATTAAATAAAATGTTGGGTATATTTGTGTTACATACAACCAGCTTTTGAAGAAGTGAACATGAGTTTAGCAGACATTATTGGAATTTGACACATTTCTTAAAAAATTACAGTATATGTATTTGCATGTGTAAACATGTGATAAGACAGAAATTAGAGATAGCCAAATAATATATATATATGTGTGTGTGATTGTTAATTAACATATTATTTTGACACTAGAAGCATTAAGCACCATTCTGTACTAAATTTAATAATTAGAAATTAATGATTAATTCATTCAGAGATATGAGATGAAAATATTCAGCCTAGTGTGTGCACTCAAGACTATAAGTACTGAAAACTAGGCAGGCAACATTAGGCTACCTAGGTCTTCCAAGCAGGGTGTTTGCCAATTTTTTAAACACACAAATTTGGTTTATCCTCATTCTGTTGTTAGTTCTTTCAAAATTCTCTGATTGCCTTCTTTTCATTATGTAACAGAGAAATATAGGCATTATTCTACCAATGCTTGATGAGGAGAAGGTTAGAATACTGTCTAAAAATGAAACTGTGAAAACTTTGTATTACAAGTTTAAATACACAAAAAAATTCTTTAAAATAATGACAGGAAACCTAAGCATGGAATTTTTAAAATAATCACTGGAAATATGTAATCCATTCAACTTGTCTGCTTAATGGAGAATAGGAAGGATAAGAAACTTTGGTCTGTCTGTCTGCATAAGTCAGTTGTGTATAATTTGTACCTTGTCTGAGTTATCAAGATACAAATACATTACTAGTTCTGTCATAAAGCTGAGACTGAATGTTTTGTCCACTAAGCACAGGAATCTGTTGAACACTGTTTATTAAACAGAGGTTTTACTGTAATATAAAATTTGTTTAATTATCATATTGATATTTATCATTTGAATTTAATGATTTTGATTAATGGCAAACAAAGTAACTACTGTAATTAATTGCTGTGTTATATATGTTATAAAGCATTAAATTATAATTTTTGACAGAAAATATCATTTAAAAAACCTCTCTCATTCTTTTAGGTTGAACAAAAGACTGCAGAGCACTGAAAAAGAGCTGTTTGATATACAAAACTTATGTACCGATCTCAAAACACAAATTCATGAATTTAACATGAAATCAAAACTTAACAAGAAAGAAGGTAAAATTTTAAAATTTATAAGAAAAATGTTTCAATTTGAATGTTTTAAAATCAAACTTATTTTGAAAGTTTTGCATTAAGGATATTTTTTTTTTTTGTTATTGCTATGTTGAATTATAAGAATATAAAATTGAAATTAGTCAAATAATAATACATAGGAGAGTGGAACATTAACAATCTATACCCACCTTTTTTAACATTGCTCTAAAATGGTTGCTGATAGGAAAATCTTAGGTACATTAGAAAGATAGGTTCTTGGTGCAGAAGTATGGAATAAATAAATAAATTTTTAAAGTTAGATTATAAATGATTTGCTATTGCTAATGTGATAGTACCCTATGCTATGGGATAATAGTGATCTTATTTCAAAGCTGTATGAAAAGAAATTACATAGTAGATAATTGTTTTTGGTTTTGAAACTAAACATGACTACATGTGTAAATATGTTTAATATCTTTATAGAAATGTATGAATACATGTACTGATATATGTATTAACAAGTATGTTAATAATGTCCAATAACATACTTGTTAATACATATATCAGTACATGTATTCATACATTTCCAAATCCAATAACATCTTAAAGGTTTTCATGTTCATTCTTATGTCAAATTCAAAGACAAGTTGCAGGTGAACCCAATAGAGGTTCCTTTCCCTTTGTTGTATTTGTCACAACACCACATTTCACATACTTTACACTGAGTCCATGTTTCAAATAATGGTTATTCATATTTTCCAGCACAGATTACAGAAATAATCTGTTTGATATTCTGCAAAACTTTTGTTTTTACTGAACAAAGTTCTTGTAGATCTTTGGCTAATATTAAATTACTTAAAAATAGTCTGAAACATTGTATAGGGGCATCTTAATTTTCACCATTATCTCTGCAAGTAGGTAATGATTTAATTGGTTCCACTGTGTCAAATGAATATACTTGTTGGAATTGGTTGTTGTTATCCTACTAAATTTCAAACTACTTTACTATGCTACTTTACCACACTTCAAACTACATATACTCAAAAATATTTATAGTTTACAGCCATTATTAGTTTCTATCTCCCCATGAGAATGCATATGAACAATCCACAAATGCCACATTATATATCAGTATTCATACCAATTACAGTATAGTCCTGTGTTATCTACAGACAACAAATTAATGTGTAAAAAAAAAGACATACAAAGGACTTACAAAAATATATTCAATTCAACTATTCTTTCATGTAAAGAACTATGCACATTCACCTTTCTTAAGTATTTCTTCATCACACAATTGCTATTGTCACATGACATCAAAATAATTCTCTTCATTTTTGAGAAACAACAAAAAGTGCTGTTGCCCTGTGAACACTAAAGCTCTACTCTCTCATAATTATTATTTAAATTAATTTGAATGAAATTGTCAACTTTCTGAATTTCAATAATTAGTGAAATCATTGGCTTTCTGATTGCTTTGAAGTTAAAATGTGGAAGTATATATTTCTGCATAAAAATATTTATAATTTAGTTTCAATTTCAAATATAATTTACTTAATAGAATATACTTATTTAGTGAATATTTTTACTATAATAAATATCAGTTAAATTTTTATACAAGGAAAATAAAATTTTTGAATGATTGAGTCTAACTATAGAGTAAGTTTAATTTTATAGATGAATCAATTAATTATATCTATCAAGTAAAATTGCAATATTTTTTAAGGATATTGCATTCAGTAAGCTCTGTTAATATGCCAGCTATTTATATATTGTAACTAAATATAATTTTTGTTTCTGATGTTCATTATTTATAAAAGTAATACTCAGTAAAGAACATACTGTAAAATTTTTCTAGTTTAAATAAAGGAAATTATATTTTTGTACTACTCAAATTTGATGCACTTATAAACGTTGTGTTTAGACTAGTGATGCCACGAATAGTGATTTTGCCGAATACCGAACATTCNGTAGCCGAATATTCGTGGCATCTCTAGTTTAGACTCTGATGCTATTGTTTAATATGATGTGTGCATGTATATGTACAAAAATATATTTGGCTGATATCCTACCTAGTATCAGTTGGATTAAAGATGGACTTTTCTGACACAAATTATGAATGTTAAGTTGAAAGTTTGTTTATATAAATGTCTTAAATCAGTATTCTTTAATTAATTTTTTTTAGAATTTGTTAAAGAAATGCAATATCTCAGGAAGGAGTTGAAACGGAATTTACATTCTAACAAAAAATTGTGTGATAAAATGGAAAAGCTTCAATGTTATGAACAAACGTATAAAGGTATGAATAATTTACTAAATATATTTTTGGACCTTTAATTTGTTTAAAACACTTTCTTATTCTTATATAACATTTTAGAATCAAGCGAATCAGATATTCCCACTCGTCTAATGGATACAGATGGTCTCAGAAGGTCATCTCGGATGTCTATGGAAATTTTGAAAGATCGTACAAATCTATCTCAAAATTATAAAATGAAATGGCGATCCTGGGATAATCTTAGCAGAGCGACTGACTTCAGTCATGTAAATTTGCCAAAGGAAAAAGGATTCAAGTTAATTCACAATGTTGAAGATTCAGTAGACCAGTCTCACTACACTTCACCAGATCTGGGTATTGATTCCGATCCTTCTCAGGATTCCAAAATCCATAAGCCATTGGATGAAAATCAAAATAAGGTTATAGAGAAGGAATCTGCGGCTATAGAAAGTTTAAAGTCATTATCATTGTCTAAAGGTTGTAGTTTTCAAGGTAATGTATGAAACTTAGAATTTTAAAAGTTATCTTAAATTTTTAATAATCTTTAATTATTCCAGATAAACTTGTAGGTCAAGCACTATATGCAGTTTCTCAATTGCAAGACTATGAATTACTTAAGAAGGAAATCGAAGAAAGCTTGGTATTAATCAAGGGCGTGCAGGCAAGGATTAAAGATCGTCTAATCACATTTTCTTCTAAGAATAGTCCTGGAAAGGTAACTTTAATCATTTCTATTTGAGTTAGCTCTAAATAGCTTCTAAGTTAGCATTAATTATATATATTTTATTACAGAGTTTAGAATATAGCACACTGAAAGAGATTAATAGTAGTTGTGCAAGTTTAGAAGCATATTTGGAGGAGAGTTATCATCTTGTCAGTTCATTTTGGATCACATCTATACCTCAGACAATAACAGATGATAAAACTGATTCAACAACACAGGTAGACATTTTTTTGTTGTAAATTATAATTTTATTCAGATTCAATATAATTTTCTGTTTATTTTTAGAATGATTTATTAGAAGAACTTGAAATTTCTAAAAGTCAGTTGAGGAAATTGACAAAGGAATTGAAAGAGGCTAATGATAAGATTTATGTAAGTGTTGTATTTTAAACATTATTGTATAAATCGTTTATTTGAAACTGATAAAATTTAAAATTTGGTTACAGGCTAATGAAAGACGTAAAGAAAAAATGGAAAAAGCCATTAACCATCAATGTAAGTTTCAGAAGATTTAGATATTTTATACAGATCACAACTATTCATTTCAGACTAATATCTAGCATAATCTCATTCTGTTGAATTGAATTATTAAACTCATATCTTGGTTGTTCCTTCAGCCGTCTTAAATATAAAATACTTTATTCTTGTTTTTAAGAGATATATATCTTGTTTTAACAGAGATGTAGACTTTTATAAATTTGCTTATATGCAAGGAAATATCAATTATTGTATTACTATAATATTAAAAACAATGATCCATTTATTATATAACAATATTTAATATTGTGTTCTGTAATAAAATTTTACATAGGACTTCTACTAGGGTTTCTCCAATGGGATCCCAGCTGTTTTTTAACCTGGAAAATTCTTCTCATCCCAGGAAATCCCACAAATTTCTTAAAAATTCACTTTTTTCTTATTTTGTGTTAAAGTTGAGGAAATTTTGCAAATAGAAAGTATAATTAACCCATAAACTGTCAGAATACATTTGTATTTATTAATTTTAAGCCTGCTTATTAGTTTTTTAAATTTTTGCTTATTATGTCATATCACAGATCAATAATCAATATTTAGCCTATTTGTACAGGACTATTACTTGTCAGAACCTGTAATATCTGGAATAATTGTGCTTATGCTGTCTTAATTTTTAACCATGCTCAGTAGCTTTGATAACTGCATTACGCCAGGTTGTGCAAATTGGGCAAGGATACAAACGAGTACGAAGTACACAAATATGAAGTTTTTCTTCATAAACCTGATTATTAAAGCCAAACAAACTGCCAAATTATCAGCTGTAAGCTTGATGCTGCTATTAAAGCAGCCAAAGTAGACAAATCAAGAATACTAGATGGGAAAAGAAGTACTGTAACACATCTTGAAAATGAACTGGAAATCTTCCAGGCTACAGGTGAAAAAACACATAATATTCATCTTCTCTTAAATGCATTAAAGATGATTCCACATATATCAATTGAATTGAAAAGGGCATTCTTGGTAGCAAGACTTTTCTTTAGTAAAATAAGAATCAAATTGAGTGATTGGAGTATTGATCATCTTTGCTTTTTAAANTTTAATAAATTTTTTCTATTTGTGAAAATTTCTACATAATTCAAAGATAATTTTTAATACATATTTTACACAGAATTATTATTATTATTAATTTGGAGGTTGCAGGACATATTAAATTACTTAAAAAATGAAAAATAATTATATCATTCAATTTCAAGATTTATTTTATATCTTAAAATAATTAATTATATCCCAGGTTTCCCGGAAACAGATAGCTTTTTCCTCAAAATCTAGGACAAGCAAAGCACTGGGAAATGAGAAACCTAATCAATACAGAGTAAAAGTTTTGAAGCCCAATCAAGATGTTGACTTCAATTGCGGGACGTATTAAGTTACTTAAAAATGAAAAATAATTATATCATTTGATTTTAAGATTTATTTTATATCTTAAAAATAATTAATTATACCCCAAGATCCCGGAAAACAGTTCACTTTTTCCCCCAGAATCCCAGGACAAGCAAAAGACCGGGAAATGAGAAACCCTAACTTCTACAAATTAGTAGTGGCTTGCCCCTTTACATCATACTTTTCCTTTAACAATAGAGTCATACTGGTCACCTTTTAGGGGAAAATTTTTGAATTGAAATAGCATGACTTCTGGTTTGCATCCGAAGTTTGTATATAGTTAAACAGGGTCTCCTTCTTCATATCTGGTTTTGGATTTCGTCTATCTAACTCTGTTCTCAAGATTAAGGAAAGATGGATGGACAACAATGGGAATTTATAGGTCTACAATTTTTTCAAATTGCAGTTCAACAAGTGTTAATTATATCTGCTAAAGATAACTGATTAATCAAGTTTGAAATTTTAGGTTTTCCTATTGATCTGATTCGACAAATAGTTAAATGCTGTAACTTGAATTTTTATAGAAGTCATTTATTTATCAAAGTTAAATAATTTTAAAATTAGTAATAAACTTTTAAAGTTAAATAGCTTTAAAATCATAGCTTTGTATTTTCTACATGCATGGGTATATTTTATAACATGATTAAAATTTAATCAAAAAATAAAAAAAGCATTAAAATATGATATTCAATCTTTAATATTAGTAATGATCTACATAAATTAAAGAATTTGAGTAAAATAGCATTTTTTTAACGATAATTACATGAAAAAATGTTTAATTCTTCATAAAATTAAGCATATTCTATTAATTCACAAATGTGATGAATTTACAAATTGTATCATTAGGAATAAAGTACATAAATTTATGTTTTAAATTTATTACCTACCATAGATGAAGCATTATGTAATTCTACTAAAAATGATCCATATTTTCCATATCAAATTCATAAGCGTATTTTGATGATAAAATATGAAAAGTAAAGTGTTTAATGATAATTTTAACATGAGAATAGTTTTAAAACCATTAAATGTGTGGCTGAAGTATTTCAGTTACGATTTAATAATAAAAATCTCTGGGTGATATGTAAATATTTGTAAACATTGGTTATTTAAATTGGCTTACTCTCAATTAACTAAATAAATTTTACAGTTCTAAATTGAAACTCTTAACAAATTTCTAAATTTGAATTTTGATACAAGACAATTCCTTGAATGTAATGATATACTAATGAAGGATTTAAAATCATTTAAATAATTTTTATACAAGTTGAATAGTTTAAATATCATTTTGTACAAGTGTGCACTGCTTAACGATACTATTTATATGATTTATATCCCATAAGATTGTAATGAATTGAAAATTTGTAGCCACTAGCACAATGCAATAATGCATAAACAAACCTACAGCATAGCCAATCACATAAAAGTATGTAAGATGTGTCATAAACATTATGGAACAAAATGTTTTCTGAAATTTCTGAATAACAAACATAGTAAAACCTCACTAAGTTGAACTGCATTAATTCAAGCTGTCTACAGTATAGTAGCACTGTGATACTACTAATTGACAAACTTTTAACTCAAACCTATTTTCTTTGATAGATCTGTGACCTTCATTTTCTGTTATATTCTGTGCAAAAGACACAGTAAATATAAAATATAATTTAATTTTTGACTAAATGTAATGCATGAATTGCAACAATGACACATTAAATGAAAATTTATGCAATGTGTTGTTAAGTTTTTAAGAAACAAAAAATTTAAAAATTTATATTACTAATAAATTTATTGATTCATATTAATACTGAAATTAAATATTTATTTATCTTGATCACATTTATAAGAATGATAAATGTGTATTTTGCCATTATCCTATTGATATGTTGAAGTGGAATATTAGTCTTCATTTGGTTTATACTAGACATTCAGTAATGTTTAACTTGAAATTCTGCATTGACCCATCTGTTCTGTATCCAAGGGTTGATCTGTGCTTTACACTGTTTCATTATGATCTTTAACATACAGTGAATTGAATTTGACCACTGAAAAAATGGATATTATTCCTATTCAATAGTAAATCTCTTGGCTTTGTGTTGTTGATTTTCTGATGTTCATTCAGAATTTGTAATTTTGAAATTATAATTAGTGTATTTTTTTTGTTTTAATGTAAATTATATATTGAATATTTGTAACTTCCTACATTTTTTATGAAATACTGGCTTGGAGTTAGAACACTTAAACTTGATTTACAGTATATTTGGAGTTTATGCTAAAATCCTACATATATTTGGAAATCTAGCCCTGGCTTTTTGATGCTTCACATATTCAGTGTAAGCCGTTTTTGCCTGAATAGTATGGTATGATATTGAAGTATTAGATAGACTAATTAAAAATCTTTGTATTCCTGAATATAAACATTTGCCACTCTTAATATATTGATAACAGATGAAAATTTACAATTATCCAATATGGCATTCCAATTATCAATAATTTGTTGACTTTCAACTCCAACGTTTTCATTATTTATTAGATTATCCGCAACGAATATTTAAGTAATAATTAAATTCTGAATAATTTATTATTTAATGAATTATTGATTATTCAGAAGAAAATAAAGAATGAGATAATTGCAAGCATTTAATTAAACCAAGATATTTCAAATATGGAAGCATAACTTCTCATAAAACCTTGATCAGAAAAAAAGTAAATTGGTGGCATCAAATTTAAAGTTTTCCAATTATATTATAAAGAATGTGTGCTTCGTTCCACACAGGATTGATATGAGATCTTACAAAAGGAATTAGACTATCCAGATTTTGAATTTTTAACTTTCAATTTACAACTTATAAATTAAGATTCCAGTTTCTAACTAATTCCAATAAGGATCACTAGCTACTGTTGTTATTTTCCTGAAATAATCAATGCGTTTTTAACAGTGAGCAAATTTTAAAGAACATCAATATTACTTTTCACAGACTTTCAACTTGCTCGTTAACCGGGTTGAAAACATTAGTGTTCTTTAACACCCTCTTAAAGATTCATTGATTAGTTCAGCTGAGTAATTACAATTAATTTTAGTAAAATTATAAGCACATAAAAGAATTATGTGCACGAAAATTTACAATTTCATAAATCATTCCTATATCCATAACAAAATGAGAATTTTGTTGACATTTCAATACAATTTATCAGTTTTGAATAACCTATAAAAAGTGTTCATTTAATTATTATTATTTTTTTTTCAGTATTGAAAACAAGAAGAGTCTTAACAGAAGCCAAAGGAAATTTAGAGAAACACAAGTTACCCGAAAATTCGTCCAGTAAAAGTAGAGTCTGTAAATAAAAATGCAAACCAACGAATGTAAATAGAAGTTTCCGTCCGAAATATACCACGGCTCTGTAGATACAGATCTTATCAAATGTATAACTTGCCAAACTCGAAATGTGCCACATTTTGAAGCAACTCAATTAACAATTATATTTATTAACTAAGCAACAAAAAATATTGTGATAAACAAACTGAATGGGACCATAATTTGTAGATACTTTAAATAAAAATACTTTAGAATTTGTGTGTGTTTCTTTTAAAGATGAAAACAAAAAAAAGTTGGATTAAATAATTTTATTTTAAATAAACATTAAAATATGAATCACAAGATATATAACAAAAATTAGCTGCAGGAAATTTAAGTTAATTAATTTTTTTGCTTTTAAATAGAAAAAGAATGTACAAAAACATTTTAACGTGTTTTTATTGATGTTAAATTAAGAAATTGTACACATTTGTTCAATTAACTATGATAATTTGTTCGTGAAGATGATGAAGAATCTACAACAGACTAGACGAAAATTCGAAAGGAGTTAAATTTTTCAGCCGTTTTAACACGTCTCTGGCAATTTTCAGCTTATATGCACCTTTAATTATTTGCATAACACATCATATTTTTGATTGAATTATTTTCGATTCATTGTTTAACAAAGCAGCCATAAGCCAGAAAATAAATAACATCTGCAAATATCACATTGTTTTCTATATACAACAATTAATGCTTTTTTTTGGTGTGTGTGTGTCATAAATCAGTTTATAAAATATGGTGTAAACAAATTGAAAAAGCAATTCGTTATTAATGGCACTTTCAAGATGTCGATTAATGTGGGGTGCCGTTCAGATGTGACTCGTTAAATAAGTGTGTATTATACTAGCATTTTGGTATAATAAAGAAAAATATGACAGAAGTTTGTATTTGTATATTGCCTTACTATCCACATTAGTTGACATCTCGTATCGATTATAGAATATGGCAAAAAGTTTATAAATCCGTAGAGATATGGACAAAAATTTAACGAACGTGTTGGAATTACGAAAACATTTTTTTCATTGCGTTGGCGTAATAAGCATTCAACTTTTGTACGCGAGCTTTTAACTTCTGTTGTTGTTTGGTGATCGCCGGATGTTCCGGCTCCATTTCGGACACCTTATCCAAATCTTCCTTTGCCCTCTCGTATTCTTGGATGTGGATCAGCGCGACGCCTCTCCTAAACAATGCCTTGAGATTGTTTGGATCGAGCTCTAGAGCTTTCGTGCAATTAATCACTGCATTGTTATAATTATTGTGTTTCAACTGGCAAGCTGCAATATTTAGATAACAGGACACTTTCAAACCTTTAATATCCATACCCTGTTCGTCACAGTTGTGTTCGGGAGGGATGTCGTGCTCCAGAGAGACGACGTAGCGTAACGCCAGACCAAATCGCCTAAAGGCCCACTTGATCTTTCCCACAGAATACAACTCCACTCCCTTAGCTTTGTGGTGAGAGGCCCTTCTCCATTTTTCCGTAATACTCATTTCCCATATTTCGGGTTCTCTAGTAAAAACCAACAACTGAAGTTTTACTTTAACCCGATCGTCATCTCCTTTTTCTCCTTCGACCGTAGATTCTTCCTTTTCCTCCGAATCTTCTTTCGCTTCGGCATCGTCCTCGACTGCGGCATCGCCTTCTTCACCCACCTCCTTCATCTTAACGTCTACGGGCGATCTGTTACCGTCGTAGGAAGTTGGGCTCATGTCTTCGTCTTCCTCGACGCTCCCGGTGATGATCAACTCGCACACTTCCTCCTCTTTCATCGTTTTCACGCAAGCTTCCAATATCTTATCCACTGCAGAATCGGCTTCTCCGATCTTCACGTCCTTGACCGCATCGCCGTCCAGCGGCTGCACGATGCTGTTTTCGTCGCCGAGCACCTTAACTTTACAAATGGAACCGTCTTGAGGGGTGAAGAATCCAAATCCCTTGCTGAGAACCACTTTAGTAAAGGAACCGTCTGGAGCTTTCCAAACGTTATCTTCTACCTCTGACTCCATTTGAGATTCATATAATCACAATACACGACTCGAAAAATGTAATGTTTTCAGTAATTTCTGGGAAGATATATCAACAGGAAAGTAAAGTTCAGTTCTACATTGTTTTGATATTACATAGAGCCAGATAAGCTGCTATTGTTATGGTAACAGAGCGGAGGAATTACTGATATAGAAGCCAGTCCCGCAGCTACCGTCTACTTGATGCGGTTTTCGTTGCAGTAGTAATTTCAATCCCGCCATCTGGTGTTGATAAATGCAAATCATATCCGCAAATATATTATCATCAGAATATATATTTAATTATAAGCTTTAATATTACGTTTTTAATATTGGTAACGATAATTGTAATTATAATAAAAATACATTTGAGTGCTCTTTTGTTTCGTTAAATATTATGACGTCATTAGTTATATTTAAGTGTTTCGAACTCAAAAAATGTATTTTAAAGATAAATATAAATCCGATGCTATATTTTATTTATTTATTTATTCTTTATTTTGATATTAAAAATTTCTTTTTTACCGATTTTTAATAAAAATTAAAAACAAAATTAAAAGGCTATTTACATTTTACTTATATTAATAAACTGCAGATTAAATAAAAATACATTTCGTCATATTATTTAAATTATTTTATATATTAATTAAGATTTTATTTCATTTGACCGATTATCTTCTCCAGAAATTTCTGTAAAATCTACCGAAATTACGTTGAAAGACGGAAAGAAATTTTTGGTTTTTGAAATATTTTTTATTAATATAAATTTCCAAAGTTATATAATATAAATTATTACTTAATATTTATTATAAATGAAACTTTTTCTACCGAAATTTTATGAGTAATCGGTAAGTAGGCAATGTGATAACATCAGTCGAGGTGTTGAACCGGGTGTGTTCTGTTAGTCGCTTCCTATCGAAAGCAGAGGATTTGTTTGGTTTTGCTGTAAGATGGCAAAGAGCACTTTTAATTCTACGTTTAGAAAGATCGACGTGGATCAATTTAACGACGATTACTACAAAGACGAAGAAAATAACGAAGCTCAATCACCTCCGACCGGACCCGACGAACAAGAAATCAATAACCTGTTGAACCAATATCCTTTAATAAATGACGAAAATGTGTAGACCGTACAATTCTAACGGTTTCATGTTATTTAGCGTATTTAATTAATGGATCGTCTCATCTTAAAACGTTTAAATCTATATACTTAGATGTTATGTTAATAAGTAGGCAAATTAAACTTAATAATGTTATTTACTGTTTATATAAATTCTTAACAGGTGTGTGTCCATGCTATAAAAACATGTTATATATCAGTTATAAAATATAGTTTTAATGGTAAGATGTGAACTCTGAATGATGGGTTTCTCACCCCAGAATTATAGACCCCTCTGTATGAGCAAAAAACAAAAGGAAAACTGTACTTGTATGTTTGACTCTTTGCGAGATATTTGCCTACGAAGGTCGGTTTGACTGGGAAGTTTTAGAGGGGGCAAGCCGCCATCCCTCTAAAACTAATGTTCGAGTACTCCGTGGACGATCGAGTGGGCTTCTCAAAGCTGGCATAGTTGTGTCGGATAAATAGTCAAACGCAATAGTTGTATCCCCATAGTCACCTACACGAGTTAGGGTTAAATTTCAAGTTACTGGTAAATGGCATTCACCAGCTCCTAATCTCGAGTCAACCACTAATAACTCGAACTCTACCGATTTTCTAGAGTTATTAGTGTCTGACTCGAGATTCGGAGTTGGTGAATGCCAGTTTACCAGTAACTCGAAATTTAACTCTAACTTGTTTTGGTGAATATGGGGGATGGTGGAGCGATGTGACTTGCAATTGCGCGTGAACTGATTTCTGCGACTAATCTTGTGAAGGATCACGTGTAGAGGTATGGTTCCTTTGACTTTTTTTGCTCTTATATAGGTATGGTCTATGGCTCGGATAAGGTCCCGACTGTCTCGTTTGGAGGTGTAATTATGTTGTTTTAATTTTGATTGCAGAATGGTTGGTCAAATAAAATAGAAAAGGCCAGATAATGTTAAATATGATATATATTTAATGTAAGTATAAGGTGGACCTTAAAACTCGCCAATGATCTAATGGACGAGATGACTGAACGGCAGTGGTCGGTTGTGGGTTTGCACCTGGCCGACTGATTGGTCGTGTGGAGTTTTCCGGGTTTTCTTCGTGTATCTAACATAAATAGGAGCCGGTTTACCATAGAAAGTCCCGGGAGGCACTCCCCCTTGGCAGATTGCCCATATGCTGTGTTTGTTGCCTTATTCAGTTAATCCTTAAAAATACCAAAATATTTTATTTAACAAATATTTAAATATTTATGAGCTTAAGACATTTCTGAAATGTAGGCTTTTATTATGACCATTATTTACTGTATATTGCAATAAAACTGTGTGAAGTGAGAAATAGTTTTTAAAAATTTACATTTAATCCCATATACTGATAAAGCAGAATACAAATGGCAAATTTATAGATATTTACAGTAATTGTGTTAGTATCTTGGATGTAGATACTATTAATTTAGTCAACAGTGTTTAAACTAGTGTACAATTGCCTTTTCTGTAACTTTTACAATTTATCAGTATTTTAAAAACCTTTGAATTTTGTTAGAATGTGCTATTTGCTGTATATTAGAATACTGAATTCTCAATAGCATATATATGATATCATAGTGAGAGGAGGGCTTCTATTATGATAGTTTTAACCAAAGAAACTTAAAAAGGTAGAGAGGGGCTTTTGTTAGGGACAATATGATATTTGTTTTTTGAATATCCTTTGTTCTTTTTCATAAAATCAGTCATCAGTGTTTAAGCTCATAAAGTGTGAATCTACCTTCATATAATAACTCTATACTAATCATGCATTTTGTAAAACAAACCAGTGCTGTAACTAGAATTTTATGCACCTGTGATAAACTAACATGACCTAGGTGTATAAAACTAACAGTAAACATTATTTTTTTTATTTTATTTTACAATATGTGTGTTAAAAATATTGGTATATTTAGGGCTGTTGAGAAGGGAAGGGAATTGAGGGTTTTCCTTAGGCATGGAGGGCTTTGTATTGGTTCCTAATAGGATAAGACCCTTAGAGGTTTTAAGTTCTTAAAAGATTTTGATGTCCCCTTATATGGGGGCACCAAAATCTTTTAAGTTTTGTATACTTCCACTTTATTTATATTAGAAAAGTTTTCTCTTACTTTTTAAACTGCAAAATCTGATCAGATCCTTAAAACTAATTTTATGTAACACATCTGCTTCCGTACATAATAGAGATAAGGAATCCAGCCTGCCTTGTTGCATAGTTATTCTGGTGGGATTTTTAATATACTTCAGCTGAGAAAATGAATACTCAGCTGAGCAATTTGTGACCTGATGTTAAAAATATACAAAAGCCAATGTCTACATTTGGAAAGGCACACTCAATATTGTCTTCTACAATTATTTTATAAAGTTCAGCATGACTGAATTGTGTTTTTACATTTTTTACGTTGAACTTATGGTGCACATATGAATGAAACTGCTGAAACTTAGCTGAGAAATTACTGTTGAAGTCCTCTGGGTAAACATCAATCAGCTTTTGACAGCACTGAGAATATTTTTCAATGTTAGTAGATGATGAAGTGACATTGTGTGGCACAACACTTAGAAAAGAAAATCTCTCTGCTTTATCTCTTTGTATATCTCTTTTCTTTTCATCTCAGTTTCAAGTTTGTTAACAATTGTGTAAAAGGTTATGATACTAATTTTGTCTCTGGCATTCAGATATACTTCTGATGCTTGATCTCTGTCATTGAGTACCTTTTTTCTGATATGTTTGTGAGTTATAGATGCCTTGTAATCAACATCTGGTAGCATTTCCTTTGTAGCTGCTTCATATCTTTCAAATTCATCTTGTGAAGTGCGCAGTTGGTCAGCTAATGATACATACAGATCTGCACATGTTTCTAAATTCACATCCTCATTTTGTAGAACTTTGCTTACTTTGTGAAAATTCTGCAAAATCTCATTCCAAAAATTCAACATAAAAACAAATCCTAGCTTTTTGCATCTTATCTGCAATATTATTTGCTTCCCTTTTGTGACTGGTCCTTGGCTATATACTGTATTCTAATACTTCTGAAATTTTAAAGAAAGATTTCAAAATTGCTGCTGTCGCCATAACATGTGTCTCCCGTCTGGTATCAGAAAGAGATTGTAAGATGCTTTCATTTTCAATACAACCTTCAAGAATTTTTTGCTGGCTGCTTGTGGCTGAAAAAAAGGTAAAGAGTAATTGCACTGTAGAGAAGAAATTAACTGTCTCTTGAGAGCAGTCAAAAGCTCTTTGGTTTAACAGATTTAGTGAATGAGCTGCACAGAGCACATATATAGCAAACTTGTTTGTTTCTAAAATTTTTGACATGAATATGTCTTTAAAAATTTGCTTCCGTAGTGGGAGGCAGTTCAGAAAACCGAAGATAACAAAATCGGGGGATACAGTTTGGCATTGCAGCTACATATCTATCATATTCATCCAAAATTTAATTATACCACTCAATAGTTAAAGGATCAAAGAATTCATTATGTTGAGTGGGGACTGTGACGCATTGCGTGCAGTGGAGGGGAAGCGCTGCCATTTTGAGGTCATTTCGTCACATCACGTCACATACTTTCCGTTTAGTATACATTTTGACTCTGAGAAGCTATGATGCTCGTTTGAGTTTCAATTTACAGCTTTCGTCAATATTTATTGATTGTTTACACAAAACATCAGTGTGGAATAGTTATGGTGAATATATATGGTGTTAAAGTTAAAAATTAAGAAAACTTAATACAATGTTGGCCTATACTCGTCGAAAAGCCAAATCAAAATATAGAAATTGTATATGGTTGGAAAGAGCTTCTCAAGAGCAATCCAGCGATACCCATAAAGCACCATATGATAGAGTGAAGCGGTGCCGGGAACGTAAAAGAACATGGAGATCCAACGAACTTTTTACTGTTAAGGAATGATTATGACATACATATAATACGCTCAAAGAAAATATTATCTGTTAACGTACACGTATTCACGTAAAACACACACGGCCATGCCCCCGACACAGCCACACCCCACTTTTTTGCTGCATCTCTTTATAATGCCAGGATATGTTAGTAGCATTGTCATTTTGAAAAGTTTAGCCTACAAGTTTTGTGTAAATACTGCAACATCTAATTTGCCAATTCAGTAAACTTCCATTTTCAGCAATTCTTTCAACCCCAGAATGTAGTGAAAAATAACTTAAATCAACATTTGTAGTAGAGGTGTCAAGAGAATTTACAAAGTAAGATCAGTAATGAGACTTGTTAGATGAATGTATTTGTGACACTTTGGTGATTCTAACACCATCATATTTTGATTCTGAAGTGATCAAAATGGTATTTGCTGTATTTGTGTCCACTTCTGATGACAAAGATTGGTTTTGACCTGGAATTGGTATATCATGTTGTGGAACTTGTGTGAAGAAAATAGTCAGCTTTGCAGTCTTGGACTCTAAATCCAAAGTCTTCTCTTGTTTCTCTTTTGATGGTTTTCACTTTTGTGCACCACTTAACTGAACACGTTTTATCTTGATTCTTGGGGTCTGTAAAGTATAGAAATAAAAAGAATATTTTGTTTGAATTATTATGTGACAATCAACACAGTTACACATATCATAGACAGAACCATACATACAATTTAATTCCTGGCTTACAGTTGAATCTTGTGCTTTAGTGTTTTAATTAATATAGACAGATTTTGTCTCAGAATTTGTAAACTGAAAAGCAGAGTTGCTGGAGGTGCATTATAAATTAGTAGTGACAGCAGGAGTCTAACCTGCATAGGAGCACTCAGCACATGGTTGCTAGTCTGCCTTGTATCACATGATAAAATAAACTTAGTTGCTGCCACCGTCATGAGAAAAACTCTCACTGTCCTCATCGCTACCACCACCACAGCACTATGTACAAAAAAATGCACATTTCAGAAATCACCAGCACCACATAAATTGACAGACATAATGAAATACAACCTCGGTTATCACCACTAGTCCAGCACCATGTGATAAACAA